CAGGTAACTAAAACACCGCATGGGTACTGGGTACGCAAAACAGAGATATAGCCAACTGGAACAGAACAGGAGCCTCAGAATAATACCACACATCTACAGCACCTGATCTTTGACAAACCTGACAAAAACAAGAAAGATGGGGACAAGGATTCCATACTTAAGTTAAAGGGTGCTGTGAAATTGCTTAGCCATAATAGAAGCTGAAACTGGATTCTTCCTTACTCCTTATATGAAAATTATCCAGAGATGATTAGAGCCTTAAATGTAGAACCGTAAAACCATAAAAACCCTAGGAAGAAACCTTTAAGGTAATCCATCAAGGACATAGCTGATGCAAGGACTTCCAGGTCTAAAAACCACCAAGAAAGGCAACAGCAACAAAAACCAAAATTGACCAAAATGGGATCTTAATTAAACTAAAGAGCTTCTGCACAGCAAAAAGAACTACCATCAGAGGTTTGAACAGGCAACCTACGATGGGAGAAAATTTTTGGCAATCTACTCATCTGAAAGGGCTAAATCGATATATGGGCCATTAAAGGAACTCAAACAAATTTACAAGAAAAAACAACCCCATCAAAAAGGGGCAAAGGATATGGAAGCAGACCTTCTCAAAGAAGACATTTCATACAGCCAATAGACCACACGAAAAAAATGGCTCATATCACTCCGCCATCAGAGATGAATGCAAATCAAAACCCACAATGAGATTACCATCTCACACCCGTTAGAATGGCAATGATAAAAAATCAGGAAACATTCTTTTTAAGGTGCTGGAGAGATGGAAATTTAGGAACTTTCGGTGTGGGTGGGTTGTTCACAGCTGGTATAAAATGTATAAGGTGAAAAAGCAAACTTGCTTATCGCACAAGTGAAGTGTCTAGATCTGTGGACCAGCATGCAAAGACCTATGAAACTAACTTTGAGGAGTAGGGGTGGTGGGACCGATAAAACGTAGTTCAACCATTGGTGGAAGAACAGTCGTGGTGGATTCCTCAAGGATCTAGAACTAGGAAATTACGGCATTGTGGAGACCTTGTTAGAGTGCCGAGGCTAATCCCAAGTCCGTGGTTGTTTGGAGAGATTACTGAGCGATAAGAAGAAAACCTGTGTTATAATGATACTCAAGTAGAAAAGGGGCACTGCTTTTGATGGACACTATTCTGCTATTGAAGAATAATGTGTGAATATATAGAAACACGAATTGATGTGATATAGAATAATAATGTTGTATTCTTACTGCAGTATTTTTTCATGCTCAGATTCCTCAAGGATCTAGAACTAGAAATACCATTTGACCCAGCCATCCCATTACTGGGGATATGCCCAAAGGATTATAAGTCATGCTGCTATAAAGACACATGTACACATATGTTTATTACGGCACTATTCACAATAGCAAAGACTTGGAATCAACCCAAATGTCCATCAGTGACAGACTAGATTAAGAAAATGTGGCACATATACACCATGGAATACTATGCAGCCATAAAAATGGATGCGTTCGTGTCCTTTGTAGGGACATGGATGCAGCTGGAAACCATCATTCTCAGCAAACTATCGCAAGAACAGAAAACCAAATACTGCATGTTCTCACTCATAGGTGGGAACTGAACAATGAGATCACTTGGACACAGGAAGGGGAGCATCACACACTGGGTCCTATTGTAGGGAGGGGGTGGGGGAAGGGATAGCATTAGGAGATATACGTAACGTAAATGTTAATGGGTGCAGCACACCAACATGGCACATGTATACATAAGTAACAAACTTGCACGTTGTGCACATGTACCCTAGACCTTAAAGTGTAATAAAAAACAACAACAAAAAAGAAGAAAAACATGTTTTATAATCCTCATGTTATTGCAAAATAGCTTATTGTATTATAATTATAATCTATAGAATCAATCCTCCTTGTTGTACTTACAGGTTGTTTCTGCATTTTCCTAGGTGAGCTCTTACAGATAAAAAGACTGTGGCCATAACCCTAGTTATTAGCATAGTGACATTAGTTTTAAATCATATCATTTGAAAATACCAGATACCTCATATGTGCAATAACAGCAGCTTATGTACCAATTTTGTTTTATAGATTTATTTTTCTTAGTAAAGTTCCTTGGAGAAAATGGAAACCCATCTCAGAAGAGTGAAGTAATAACAAAATGCAAGAGCTGCTATTTTTTGAGCGTCTAATCTGTACCAAGCACCATGGTGAGCACTTCATTTGATCTCTGCTGACTTTTATGGCAATGCTAAGGTGAAGGTATTATTATCCTCATTTTCTAGATAAGGGAGCTGAGACTTCAAGAGCCTCAGGACATTCCTAGTAAATGTAGAGCCCAGATGCAAAGCAGACCTGTTTCATTCCCATGAGGGTGGAACCCTAACAAGAGTTCTGGAACAACTGACTGTGTGAATGAATGAATTAATGACGCTGTGGGATAGATTATGTAGATACCACCATTCACCTTTTATAAGGACGATGGAGACCTAGAGAAGAGTTACTATGTATATAAGAAAAGGGTGCATCTCTGGGCAGGTGCAGCCATGGGCCCGGGGTTGGCACACAGTGAGAGTACTTTGGCTCACACTTGCCACTCAGAGGCTTGACCTGCAAACGACTCTTAAGTTATGGGGTAAGCATTTGATATCAGGCCTTCTGACTTTATGATCTTCCCTCCTTCACTGGGAGGCCGAGGAGGGCAGATCACCAGGTCAGGAGATCGAGACCATCCTGGCTAACACAGTGAAATCCCGTCTCTACTGAAAATACAAAGACTTTCAAAAAATTAGCCGGACATGGTGGCGGGAGCTTGTAGCTCCAGCTACTCGGGAGGCTGAGGCAGGAGAATGGCGTAAACCCGGAAGGCGGAGCTTGCAGTGAGCCGACACTGCACAGCTGCACTCCAGCCTGGGCGACAGAACGAGACTCCGTCTCAAATTAAAAAAAAAAAAAAAAAAAAAAAAGAAAGCATGATGCTTCATTATATAGCCCTCCGTTCCCAATCAGATGACACAAAATATAAACAGGATTTCTAAGCTGGTGGTGAACAAACAGGAAATACTAATTATATTTCTGAGGATAAAGATGCTGGTGATAAGACTGATAATGGCTATGACTGAATGAACTTTTACTAAGTATCTGGCACTAATGCCAAACACTTTACATGCATTGGTTCTATTTGCCATAAATCACTCAGATGGGTAATGTCAGCCTCATTTTGCAGATGAGGAAGCTGAGACTCAGAACATCCTAATAACATTCCTAGGTTCACACAACCTATTCCAAAGCTCAGGCTCCCTGTACTCTGAGTCGTGGAGTACTGTGGATTGTTCTGGCACTCCCCGTTTCTTCTTAAGCCATTTTCTCTAGGAGAATCTTTTCTCTGGACATTTTTTATTTATTTTCCTGAAGTCTAAGGTACATGACTGACCAACTTATGATTTTCTTCCTTGACATACGTAAATCCTAAGGTGGCATGGGTATTTTCCCCCAAGATTCTGATGGTTTCTGTTATATTAATTAATTCCTCCTTGTTGGCTATAATTGGACACAAACTCAGGGTCTTTTCCTGACTTCCAGGAGATAAAAATCATTAGCCAATTAAAACTTTATCATCTATCTTGGCTGCCTCCAGCTGAGTGAGGCTATCAGTTATTTTTAAGGTGGTTGAAGGCTCATGTCTTTGTGAACACATCCTCTGAGCCAATTCTGTGACTTGTGTTAGCAAAGCCTCATCTGTATTTTCTCTGAGTTGTGGAAATGAGGGGATGGGATAGATAGGCATCTGTAGTATGTTTTACATTTTCTTCTTCTTCTTCTTCTTTTTTTTTTTTTCTCCTATTGTTCTTACACAAATGCTCTTCTTCTTGCTGCTTCTACCCTCTGCTGTCTGATTTCTGGGCACTGTGTATAAGGCTCATGCTTATTTTCCAAGGAAAGTTTGAGATTTGTTTAAAAAAATATATCTGAGGGAAGTGGTGGGGCTGTAGCAGGGCATACTCTGAAAGGTATTACTCTGACTGTAGAAATAAGATAGGAAGGTGGTAGAAGAACAAGAGCCTACACAGAGAAGAGGGATGAGAAATTGGGGGAAGAATAAGAATTGAGGAAGAGATGTTGATGGCATCAAAAGATGAAATCTTGCAGGTATTTGTGAATTTTGTTAGGATTAGTACGGTACCATTTATAGACTGGTGCTTAGCAAAATAATGTTTTCAATCCAATCTTTAAAAGCAGTTAAAGAAGTTATATGCTAAACTGTAAAACCAACAGGAGCCACATAATTTTTAAAAGCCTGTATTTAAATTTCTATTCTGTCATATATTAATTTCTGACCTTGAGTTAGTTGCTTAGTTCCTCTAATTCTGTTTCTTCGTCTGTACAGTGTGGGAAATAAAAGTCCCAATTGAGAGAAAACTGACTTCTTTATGGAATATTTTAGAAGAGATTCCTTAAGGCATTTAAGATTTTGAGACACCATTTTATCAAATAAGTAGAAATTTTATTTTATTCTTTTACAATCCAGTTATTTAGGGCTTTAGGATCAAACTGACCTGATTTCAAAATTTGGCACCATTACTTGCTGGCTGTGTGACATGTTTTTTACATCTTTGAATGTCAACTTTCTCATCTGTGATACGGAAATAATAGTCACCTTCCTTGTAGGTTTAAGTGAGGTGATGCATTTCAATATGTCAATAAAAGTGGGGTTGCATTACCTGTATGATACTGAATGAACTACAGGAAGCCAAAGAGCTCTTCAAGCTCTTAAAGCCTAGGTAATTGTAGGCTTTCATCATTATTCACAACATTTTCATGCCCACTGCGTGACTGTCTTTCTTTCTTTTATGCACTCCAATTATTTGAAATGTATAAGAGTCTTATAAATTTCTATTTGGGTTCAGATGTTCTTTTTTTTTTATTTTCCCAGATTTTACTCACATATTTGTCATTTTCTTCTTGTAAGACAGTGACTCAGCTTCAGAACAAAGCAAAACAAACCACCAAGAACAAAAGAAAACTCAGAATATGCAAACATAGTATTCACTGGCAGTATCTGAACTCATCCCAAACCAGGTACAGCTCATAGTTAGACCTTGAGGCTTAATTTACTACTAAAATTTTGCTAGAGAGGAATCCTGAAAAGTTGGTTTGGGAAGAGATGAATGATTGTGCAATGCTTTTGGGAAGACAGCCAAGATCTCAGCCACCCGACAGCTGGGGGAAAGACGGAGCGGGTTGTGGGGGAAAGCTTGGAGTTTCTTACCGTGGCATCTTCCCCAGCATAGTGGTTGAGGACCCGGCGCCCACCTGGATGCCTGTCTGCCCAGCTGGAGACATTGTAAACCTTGCGATTGATGACCAGCCATTGGTCGGCCTCCTGATTATGCCTCTGGATCTCCTGCCAGGTGTACATGTTGAGCCTTTTCCTGGGCACGCTGCATTTCCCATTTGCCTCCTGCTTTGCATAGAACTCAGCTTCCCCATTTGTTACGGGTTTTCCTTTTGGCTGATGCTTCTCACCTGGGTATGACTGATTCCTTCCTACAAGGCTCCCATTGTCCCCACACTTTTCTTCAAATTTCATTGTCATTGAATCCCTAGGATTTCTGGGTTAATGCTTGAAATTTCTAATCCTCACCTCTGATTGAACCATAAAATGACTGCCTTTCTCCCTTTTCATTCCATTGCAGTATGACACCTACACTGAAAACTTCTGAGCCTAGTTGTCTTTTCACAAACCTGATAGTGAGCACCTTCCCAGCTTCTCACTTCTTTGCCTGTCCTGAATCTTTTCTGCCTTGATGAAGGCTAGGCCACCTTCCTTCCTTCTTTCTCTCTTCGCTTCTCCTCTCTCTGCTGTCTAGCCTCTTGGAAGCATCCTCCTTCATCATTAAATGCTCTTTAGTAAAGAGCCTAGGCCAATCACACTCTGGCTTCATGTTGTGGCCCTCCCTGAGGGAGGAGGGACTAAGCTGTGGTCCTGGTGATTCTCCTGCACAGCATCAAGGCGTGTTGGGTTCATTAACTCTCGGACGTGCCTGTGATCAGAGACTTTTAGCTGTGCTAATCCAGCATATGAGCAAAAGCTTTCAAAATCTCCAGGATGACACGAATTGGACTTGGGAAATGTTCTTTTGACAGCTGTTATTTATCCTGAGGGCCTTTCAATTCTTTCAAACTTTTGTAAAAGAAAGGTTTGAATTACAATACACTAAATAAGCTAGGAACAGAAAGGGAAACATCGCATGTTCTCCCTTATTTGTGGGATCTAAAAACCAAAACAATTGAACTCATGGACATAGATTGTAGAAGGTTGGTTACCAGAGGGTGGGAGGGGGAGTGGGGGTTTGGGGGAGTGAAGTGGAATGGTTAATAGGTACAAAAAAAAAATAGAAAGAATGATTAAGACCTACTATTTGATAGCACAACAGGGTAACTATAGTCAATAATAACTTAATTGTACATTTTAAAATAACTTAAAGAGGATAACTAGATTGTTTGTAACTCAAAGGATAAATGCTTGCGAGGATGGATACCCCATTCTCCGTGATGTGCTTATTTCATATTGCATGCCTGTATGAAAACATCTCATGTACCCATAAATATACACACCTACTATGTAATGTAAGCATTACAAATACAAAAATAAAATAAAGAAAGGTTTGAGTTTCATTTTACCAAAAAGCACATCAACATAAACTGGTTTTCTCTCTTGTGATTTCCCTTTGAAAGCTGTTTAAATCTGTCAGCACACATAAAGGTAATCACAGCTGATGTTTGCAAGACCACATGATGGTTTACAAAGCCGTTGTCACATGTTTGATCTGATTTAAGCCTCAGTTCAATCTTTTGAGGGAGGTGCTATTACTGCCCCATTTTCCAGGTGAGAAAACATGGACGGAAAGCCTCTCAGGTAACATTCCAGGATCACCTTGTGAATGAGAAGTGAACTGGTGCATTGATCTAGATTTTCTGATTCCAAATCTCCAGCTCTTTCCCTCTGTTTCCCACACCTTGATCTAGACATTTGTAATAATAACTCTGTGGTTTATAAACAAAGTAGAAGAAATAATTTCAGGGTGGTGGTGGGGGGAAGGGTCTTAATTTTAAGGAAAGAGGCTACATAAAATAGAAAAAATATATTCTCACATTTGGGAATCTGTGCTAACTTAATTATCAGTGTTTCAGTTCAAGATTTATGTAGAAGGAGATTTATTTCAATATGATTTATAATTGTTAAAATCAGAAATGATCTAAATAGTTAGCAATAAAGACTGTGTTACTATATAATAAAGTGTATATATACTCAATATTACGTAGATATTAAAATAAAGTATAAAGTACGTATACACTGAATATTATATAGATACTAAATAGGAAGTTTTTAATGGCACGGACTCCTGCTTGCCATGTAAAAAAAATTTGTCAATAAATTGTATTTACTAGATGCTATATGATTGGAAGGAAATATGCCAAAATATTGGGATTATTTCTCTTTGCATTGAAATATTATTCAATATTATTTTCTTTATTTTTTGTGATACTTTCTAAGTTTTCTACAAATTAGTATGCTACTTTTATAATGTAAAAGGCAGTTTCTTTAATAAAAATAGGGAATCAAAGAAAGAAACTGATTTTGAAGCTCGGATCCTATTTTGGCTTCCCCATCATTAGCCGTGGAAGATCAGGCAAATGACTTATGTAGGCTTTAGTTTCCCATCTGCAAAATGAAAGAATGAGCACAGATTTCAGCATTGCATTAAATTAACTTAGGTGCTGTGGTATTGACAGAAATCCCCTGTACTGTCTATGATTTCTGAATGGGAATTTTATAAATCCGACATATGCACACTGAATACTTGTAGTTCCCAGGCGTAAATTCAAGACAGCTCCAGAGTTCCAGTATAAGTGAGGTTTTAGGGCAAGAATCTGGTTGGAAGTTTGGTGAGGGCACGTCAGGGGCTTGTCCAGAGGAGTCGCCTGGTACTTTAAGTACACTTAAGAGAATGTCATTTTGCCGTATCGTGATGATACGGTTTGAATGTTTGTCCCCTCCAAGGGTGATGTTGAAATTTAATGGCCATGGTAACAGTATTTAGAGGTGGGGTCTTTAAGAGGTGATTAGGCTATGAGGGCTCCATCTCATGGGTGAGATTGGTGCTTTTATAAAAGGGCAAGTTCAGTCCCCTCAAGCCCTCTCTGTCATCCTATTGCCTTCTGCCCGGTAATGACATGGCAAGAAGGCCCTCACTAGATGCTGGCACTTTGATATTGGATTTTTCAGCCTCCAGAACTGTGAGCCAATAAGTTTCTATTCATTGTAAATTACCCAGTCTCAGGTATTTGCACGCAAAGTGTTTGGAAGACTCAGAAAATATTGGTAATGAGAGCTTTCCTAGCAAAAGCCCTCTGTACGCCTGGCAACCTTAAAATATTCCTTTTCATATTGGATGCAGTCAGTTAGAATATGGGGATATGTTAGCTATGTTCAATTTTTCCCCAAAGCCAAAAACAAATGTCCTAGCATCACAGAGAACTGACCCCTTCTCAGTAACCACTCCCCACCCCCTTCCCCTGACTTCTTTCATTATATTTTAATGCTTCCTGGTGGAAAATTTGGTCAATTCCTTGCCTCAGATGTAATGCTGAAGATTATAATGGTTACAAAAAGAAGTGTTTAAACCAAAGTTCTTTTAAGGATAAGATTCTGAGATGTGAATCCCACACTGAGCTTTTTGAAAAGCAGGCATCTTTTGCTGACTGAAGGTGAATCATTCATTCATTCATTTATGAATCCATCCACCAAACCTGCATGGAGTGGCTTCCATGGGCTAGCATTGTGCCTCCAGGACTTCTCACCATCTTTAAAACTATTGGGCCATTTTCATATCATCTCATACAGGACAGCAGAGTAGGGGTTACTGTGACTCAAATCTGTGTATTCAATTACTTAAGATACTCAAGGCAGTATCCCTTGGCCAAAGCAGTTTGACCCTCAAAATCCCAGTGCCCCTACTTCTCAGCCTGAAACTGGTTAGAGGTATTATAGAAGTTTTTCCTGCTGCCAAGAGCCATCTTGCCTTCATATAATTTATTGAAGTTTTCACAAGAACTCATTATTTTTCTGATGGCTACACTAGATAACTTGGAGATGAGAGATGAACAAAACTTTCTTTTCTCTGTACCAGGAGCCACTGAAATGAAACAAAACAAATAAAGAAAACACATTGCCCAACTCCCTCCATTCCTAAGCACGTGGTTTCTTTGTAGAGAGCTAGATTTCCAGGATTCAAAATCCAGGACCGCTGCTTCTAGTGCTGTGAACTGGGACAAGGGCCTTAACCTTCCTGTGCCTCAGTTTCGCATTTCTAAGATAGAGATGAAGCCAATAATACTAATGCCTAAGAGACCTTCCTTTGTAGAGATTAAATATGTTAATTCATGTATCGTGCTTAGGAGAATACCTAGACATCCTAGAGGTAAACGTTAGCTACTGATACCATTTATTTATCTCCGAGTCAGCATATTACTCAACCTCAGCAATGTTCAGTGGGCACATGCAATTGCCGGGCAATGAACTCTGAATTTAATAATTCAGTGCTCCTAAAGGGAGTAGGAATACAATCAGTCAATGGGCAAGAAAAAGAGACAAACATGTATTAGTCCAATAAAAGAAGTGGGAGAAAACATATCAAAGCGTTCAACACAGACTGAAGCAGCACACTGGTCTTTCCTTCTCCCACGGACAAGGGCTTGATTTTTGGAATCACAGTTGTCCCACTTGGAATCTTTCTCCGTGAGGCTCCTTGACTCCTTTTAAATTAATAAATGAACATTCTCCAGCTCTGCAACGTCGTGAATCAACCAAAAGATCAAGTTAAGTTTATGGACAATTCTATAGTAGCGCCCTCAAAATCAAAGCATTGTTCTTTCTGGTAAAAAATGGAAATCATTAAAAAGAATTCCACAACAAGCTCAGATGCCAGCCTATGCCATTTGAGGTTCTGAGGATTCAAACTCTGGAATCAACAGAGAAAGATCTTTTTTGAAGATAGCAAAGAGAGCAAAAAAGCACCAGTGTTAGCATAAGAACTGTTCATGTCTCTTTTATGCTACTTCCTTCTAAAAAGCTGTGCCTCTTTATGTGAGGCACTTACCCTCTCTGAACTTCAGTTTCTTTCTCTGTTCAACAAGGTGTGATACCTATTCTGCTTATCTTAAAGGGCCATTGTGAGGCTCAAAAGAGACAACGAATGTAGAAGTATGGTTTAAATGCAGAATTCTGTTATTAAGTTAATAATAGTGTTAATGCCATTAAAAGCAAAGGCAAAAACAGCAGTTACTTTTGCACCAAGCTAGTATTATTATGATAATTGTGATTTTACAATGAGTACAAGATTTTCTACGTTCTCCATAGGAACTATTCCAGCTGGATCCATTGTGTCACACAGAGAAAAACATAAGCTTTCTTCTTAGCTACAGAACCAGATAGAATGTTGGACTGAACATAAAAGGATTCTTCTGTTGGCTCACTATTTACCTATCTTTTTATAATGTGCTTTGAGCTCCTTGAGATCTACTTTGGATAAAATAGCTGCATGTGAGTGCAGCTATTTTTATCAGGGGTTGATTTGCTCATTATGATCAGGGCCGATCTGCTCCCCAGATGGATTCATTTAACTCGGGGCACACCCTGGCTCTGTGTGTATGAACACTGTGTAAACTGCACTCCCATTTCTTCCCAGGGCAGCTGTTCCGAAGTGCTGCTTTATAATTTCAACAAAGTTTGTTTGAAAAACACTCCAATTAGCTACTGGTGCCTTGGCTTAAAAGAGTCTCATTGTCTCAAAGCAGACATTCAGGAAGGACTGCTTTAGCTGTGCTGACAGCCTGCTATTGGCTGGCCCTGGTCCTGCCATGGGCAGGATTCAAGTGGGGCAGTGTGGCCTTGTTTTCACACAAACTTAAAGCAATCATTTACTTCCGTGGTCTCAGCTGCTGCCTTATCTCATGGGGGAAAAGGAGAAACAGAGGCCTATTCTCAGGAACACCCAAAACAGTGCTCAACTAGTCAAGTAAGAGACAGAGAGGGGTAGAGGAAAGAGAAGGGGATTCAATTCCAACATCCAGGAGGGCAGGGACTTTGCCTGTTTTGTTCATCACTGTTTGCAGAGTCTGGCATAAAATTAGGTCCTCACTAAATATTTGCTAAGTAAATGATTAATGCATGAATGAATATCATAGTTTTAGGTTTGCCAATGACCTTTAGCTGGTCTCTTAGGTACACAATTGGTAGAAAGAAAGTGAAGA